TGAACTAAAAAAACTGACAAAGTAACGAAGCTTTGGGGTTTGCAAAAGGAAGTGGTAAAGCTCTAAAAATTTACTGCCTGAACTGTTTCTCTCCCCACACCCCATAAGGATCGAGGAATGATTCAACAATACCTGTAACTCCAGAGTCTGAAAACATCTGGCTTGTTTTTACCTAGTTTTCAGTTTAAGGCTTTTTGCCATAGGAAATTACACTAGGAAGCCAAACTCAGAATCCAACAGACATGTATGTCATGGATATTCAAGAGTGCAACTCATGCATGAAAATGTTGTAATTCAGAGGGGAGGTATTCAGAGAGAAGTGGGATCTCAACCAGCATTTTAAATAACTGCAGGTATTTATTACTTATGGAGATACAGAGGAACTGATCTCACATCTTGGAAATGTCCCAACGCAATCTCCACCATAAACATTTTGAGCGAGCCAATAAAAATCATGTTTTATGGGTGTGCTTTGGAATCCAAGTGGGACCCAGAAGAGAGTTTCTCCGTTCTGCTGTCTGAAGATCTAGTGATCAAGTGTAGCTCTCACTAAGAGGTCTATGGAGATTCTCAATCATCCATGGTCATGGTTGTCCCAAAGGTGATTTTTTCCCAAAAGGCAGCTGGACTTTCTTGGGGGCGTTTTTTATCTTTGAAAATGATTCACCTCCCATCCGAGAAGCTTATTTATTTATTGGTTCAATTTATATGCCGCCCTTCGCCAGAGACTCAGGGCAGCTTACAATGCGTTAAGCAATAGCCTTCATACTTTTGTATATACCTGCTTAGTAGGGCTTTCGCCCCCCCCCCAAGCAGTGTTCTTTTTTATACAGTCACCTTATTTCCCCCACAGTCCGGGTCCTCATTTTACCTACCTCGAAAGGATGGAAGGCTGAGTCAACCTTGAGCCTGGTGAGATTCGAACTTGCAATAATTGCAGGCAGCTGGTGCTAATTAACAGCGCTTTAGTCTGCTGCGCCACCAAGCTTCTTCAGTTCATGGGGGAGGGGGGGGGGGAAGACTTTGGAAAAAGTGCAAAGAAGAGCAAATAAGATGATTAAAGGCCTGGAGACTAAAACATATGAACGGTTGCAGGATTTGGCTTTGGCTAGTCTAGAGAAAAGAAGGACTGGTAGGGAGGACATGATAGTAGTCTTCCAATATTTGAGGGGCTGCCACAAAGAGGAGGGGGGTCAAATTATTCTCCAAAGCACCTACAGGCAGGACAAGAAGCAATGGATGGAAAATAATCAAGGAAAGAAGCAACCTAGAACTAAGGAGAAACTTCCTAACAGTGAGAACAGCTTGCCACCAGAAGTTGTGGGTGCTCCATCACTGGAGGTTTTTCAGAAAAGACTGGACAGCCACTTGTCTGAAATGGTATGAGCAGGGGGCTGGGCTAGAAGACCTCCAAGGTCCCTTCCAGCTCTATTCTGATACTGATTTGTCTTTTGGGGGGAAAAATCACCTTTGGGATTACCACTATAAGCTTCTTAGAAACCAGAAAAACCAACTGGTTAGACTGTTTCACATCTGTCTTATGTATTGGTCTTGAATAGTTGTCTTCTCTTTCAAGGCATATTCTATTTTAGCTTCAAAACGCCAGAGCAAGCGAAGAAAATCCCATTTATTCATGGGTCTCAGGCAATTTAAAAACATGAAAAGCATTAGAATTCACTGACTATTAACACGAATCACTGTCTGGGACCCAGCTAATGAACTGGAGGAAGAGAAGCAGCAGATCCCAGAATGAAGACTGGTGTGTTTTGCCAAAGCTAACTGTATGGATCATTAGGTAGACTCAGTAAGAAATATTTAAGACCTGAAGCTCAAAGTACACCTCGCTTAAGATTCCCAGAATAGATAGCAAACATTGAGCAAGATTTGCCATTCAATAATAGATAGTTAATGGACCTGCTGGCAGAAACTATAAAGCATAACCCATGAGCCACGTGTTGTGACTACTACTAAATATTGAGCTACTCAATATTTGATAGTTCATTTGGCATTCAAATCTAAGATAGAGTTATGGCAGACAATCACGCTTGGCAGGTAAGTCACAAACTGTGAAAGTGTAGATTTCTAGTTTAGAAAAAAATTAGATGGCTATTAAGGAATTCGAAGAGTAACCCTTGAATAGCAAGGGTGTGCACATGAAAGCGATTGAGAGTAGATACGAATAAACACAGTCAACACACAGATACAGTGAGTTGTGTTTACTTTCAGGAAATAGTAAGGCACAGTCCAATAAACAGTCCAGGTCAAAATTACAGTCCAGAGATAATCCAATAACAAAGTCTTCTTACCAGTCGTCGTAGTCATTCACAATAAACAGTTCTTTGCTGTTCTTGCTCTCTGATATCTCTGTGTGCAACTGTTTGCAAATCCAGAAGAATTGTTTATTGTGAATAACTACAATGACTGGTAAGAAGACTTTGTTATTGGATTATCCCTGGACTGTAATTTTGCTATCTCCTGCTTTATATGTGTATGACCTGGACTGTTTATTGGACTGTGCCTTACTATTTCCTGTTAGTAAACACAACTCAGTGTATCTGTGTGTTGACGTGTTTATTCGTATCTACTCTTAATCGCTTTCATGTACACACCCTTGCTATTCAAGGATTACTCTGCGAATTCCTTAACAATGGCCAACAACAACAAGAACAACAAGATGGAAGAGAATCTTTGTAGTTCGGGGTTGAAATGTGGAGTCCTCAGTGCTCTCTGAGCTTGGTTGGTTCCTTGCAGATGTTTCATTACCAAACTAGGTAACATCATCAGTGCTTTGTCTGAAGACGAACATCATGATGAATCAAGCTCAGAGATTCCCCCCCCACCCCAAAGAAGAAGTATGAAACAGGAGTATTGTTACTTTTTTCAGGTAGCCCTCAATGTCCTATGGCACTGATGGTTAACCTTTTTGGTGCCAAGTGCCCAAAGCACGCATGTGTGCACGTGAATGCATGCACACGTGCCTGAACCCCCAAAATGCAATGCCAGCGTCCCCCCACACATGCGCCCTGCCCCTTGCATGCACCCCGCCCCCCCCATGCATGCACCCCCCTGCACCTTTGGTTTTGGCTTCCAGGTTGGTACAGGAGGCTTTCCAGGCCCAAAATGGGATGCATGGGTGCAGCACAAGCCCCCCCCACCCCATTTTGGGCCTTAAAAGCCTCCTGCACCACTCTGCGCATGCCCCCTGCCCCCTGTGCATGCATCCCCCACATGCGTCCCACCCCCACGCATGCTCTGCAGAGACCCAAAGACCAGCTGACTAGTGGGAGGCGCGCGCATGTGCGGTGGAGCTGGGCTAGGGCGATGGCTGGCGTCTCATGTTTTGGGGGAGTTGGTTATGTATAGTTCCCAATAACTCCTTCAATTCTCCGAGATGGAGGAAAGATTATAAGTGATGACTTGAATTATTAAGAAGGAAAGCCCTAAAAATAACTATATCTGAAGCTGGCTTAGTCTTTAAGAGAGCCTGAGATTTTAAGGATTAAGGATGGGATGAAAACAGTATCCATCATCAAGCTGTCGTTAATTCTGCCAATATCACATATGTTAGAAGCTGGACACACTAAAACTGAACACACACTTTAACATGCCTATTCTCAACGCAAAACTTATGAACACACCTGCTATATTACCTCATTTCTCAGGGTGACCCCAACACCCGTTTAAACATTTTTTAGCATTTGATCATAATCAAACGATTTGTAAGCAAGTAAACAGCTTGGTCTTTTGTTTTACAATCTGTCATACAGGCAGTCCTTGACTTATGACCGTTCATTTAGCAACCGTTACAACGGCACTGAAAAAATTGACTTATGACCGTTTTTCACACTTAACGACCGTTGCAGCATCCCTGTGGTCACGTGATCAAAATCTGGCTGTTTGGCAACTCTCATATTTACAACAGACACAGTGTCCCGTGTGTGTGTGTGTGTGTATCACATTGATCGAGGGCTAAAATCCAGCAGGTTCTGACAGGTTCTGGAGAACCGGCAAATACCACCTCTGGCTGGCCCCAAAGTGGGGAGGGAATGGGGATTTTGCAGTATCCTTCCCCTGGAGTGGGGTGGGAATGGAGATTTTGCAGTATCCTTCCCCTGCCATGCCCACCAAGCCACGCCCACCAAGCTACACCACGTCCAAGCCATGCCCACAGAACCGATAGTAAAACAATTTGGATTTCACCACTGCGTTGATTCCCTTTGGCGACCTTCTGATAAACGAAGTCAACGGGGAAGCCAGATTCACTTAACAACTTCCGTGAGTCACTTAACAACGGTGGCAAGAAAGGTCGTAAAATGAGGAAGAAAACTCACTTAACCACGGTCTCACTTAGCAACGGAAATTTGGGGCTCGACTGTGGTCGTAAGTCAAAGACTACCTGTACGTGATCAGTGCAGAATGCCTTCCTGCAAACTCTGATTTCCAAGGCTAGTGTTGTGGCCTTTCGGCCGCCGGCCCCTCCAGCAGCCGAATCAGATGAGGAGGAGGCATGGGAGTCAGGGTCAGCATCAAGGCAACCTGAGAGCTCCGAAGGGGAACAGGGAATGGAGCTGTCAGAGATAGAGACAGAGGTGGAGCCTGGACTAACCGTCAGCCCTCAGATGGAGAATCAATAGCCCTCAGGTCTGGAGGTGGCTGATGAGGAAGAGGAGGAACAGCTGGGTCCAGTGCCTGACGCACAGATGTGCAGAAAGCAGAGGAGAGGAGAGCAGTGGAAATCTACGGGCCAATCCTTGGGGCAGAAGAGCCACTGCTGCTAGCGAAGCTCCATCCTAGCTCTGGGGATAAAAGGCAGGGGGCGGAAAGGAATAGATGTGGCAGACAACTATTCATCTCCCTGTCCGACAGACTTGTTAGCCTGCTGTAAGAGAGAGACTTTTTGCCGGGGCTGCTAGGGCTCATACTAAAGGAATCATTGCTTCAACTACAGAGGGTTTGTCGTGTTTGGGGAGCTGGGTCAAAACAGCTAGGTGGAAACATACCTTCTACAAAATCACTTTCAGTGTAAAGCTGCCGCTCCCCGATTCCGTCTTCTTCCTCTTGACCTTCTTCGTCGGGATTATTGATCACCTCTAGGCCAGCCTCAATCACTTCCACCAACTCATCCCGCTTATCTTTTCGGACGGGCTTCTCCTCTGGGTGACGGGTGAGTCCCATCTCCAACTGGTACACCTTCATGGGAGTAAAGCTCTCAAAAGGGATCACGGCGTATTCGCTGGGTAGCTTAGCGCCGATGCTCACTTCGGCTTTGTCTATTTGAGAATGCAGGTATTCTAAGAGGTCATTGGAGGTTTGTTCCTTGATGCCCGGAGAGCCCATGCTTTGGACTTTGGGGTTTTTCTTATCCTGCAACAGCTTCAATTTCTCACTCATCTCTTGAAGTTCCAGCTTCAGCTGGGCGATCTGACGCTTCAGGCTGGCGGCCCTGTTTTGGTAGTGTTCTTCCTGCTCTTGAAGAAGAGCTTGGTAATGCTCCTTACCAAAATGATCCCCTCCGAGGCCAGGAAGCGATCGGTTGCTTTCGGTTGGTGGGGCACACTCCAGGAGATACATGATCAGTAACAGACTCAACAGCAAAGCCAGCCCGACAAAAAGCCATCGCGTTCTGGCTTGAAATATTAATCCTCTCCTGGGCATCCTTAGAACACTGTGGTCCTATTCCGAATCACAAAGCTGATCTTTGCAGGTCATTCCTTGCCACCTGAAAGGAGCCATCATTTTGGAGGCAAATCCAGAGGACTCTCGACTGTTACAGCCACTCGTGGAAGGAGAACATTTCAACAGTCCTCTTGTTCATCTCCAAGTTGAGCTTAAATCCCCGAATGAGGCTGCCTTCCATTCCTGCCAGCAGCTGCCATCCAATTGGCTGATGCACCTCTCGTTAAATAAGCGTTGTTTGCACCAATAGGGAAAGCTTGTTGTTACAAGAAAGTCACCTGCTTTTCGTTTTCCGCCGTGATACCCTTAAGTTTATCGATCAACTTGTATGAAAAAATAAAGGAGAAACCCTCTGGAAATACCGACGTTCTTACTAGAATGTCCGAAGTAGGTTTGAGCTCCTCCATGGAGGACGCACTGCTGAAAAACAGAAGTTAGTATTTCAGCAATACCAGAGAGTCAGCATGGTATTTTCATCCAACATTTGTCCTTCTCCTTTCTTCTTCTTGGAAACCCAGAATCTGAGTCAGCAAAATACAGGAAAAGCCTAATATTAAATTGGGGGGAGGAAAAAAAATACTTGGTTAGAACTACAAAGCAACCAGACAGATGGAAAGCACATAAAAGCAATGCCTAATATCCTAAAAATCTAAATGTAATGAATTGCATATAAATTTATGGCTAGGCTAGAATAGGGAAAAATGGCAACGCTGACATATTTTCTACTTTACTCATCTACAAACTTCTTCTTAGGAAACAGATTTTTTTTTAAAAAAAAATATAACTGGTCTGTCAAAACTCATTCCATTTTGACTTTTCCCAGAAGCATTTTTTTAATTTGCTTAAAAAAAAAAAAAAATCCGGAAAGAAAAAAAAAAGGTCAGCAAATTCATCATCATCAATTCAAAAGAACTTTTAAATGCAAGAATTTTAGAATGTCGAAAAGTTTCGTTAGGGTAACTTCCACAGCTGCCGCCCACCCCCTGGCCCCAAATATAAAAAAAGATGCTACAGAAATATCAACTGCAGTATTTTAGCTTTCAGATTTTGGTTATTTCAAGGATAGTTGGGGAAAGCACCATAGTTGCTTTAGGAACTAATAAAGTATGTTTCAGAACACGGAATAACGAGGAGTTGGAAGGGACTTTGGAGGTCTTTTAGTCCAAATCCCCTGCTCAAGCAGGAGGCCATGACATTCTGGGCAAATGATTGTCCAGTCTTTTCTTGATAACCTCCAGTGATAAACTGTTCCATTGATCGTTTTCAGAGCTAGAACATTTCTCCTTATTTCTAGGTTGGATCTCTCTTTATTAAGCTTCCACACTTGTCCTGTCTTAGGTGCTTTGGAGATAGATCAATCCCCTCTTTTCTGTAACAGCCCCTCTGTGACTACTATCATGTCACCTCTAATTATTCCCTTCATTAGATTAGACCTAGTTCCCACAACTATTCATCATATGTTATAGCCTCCAGGCCCCTAATCATCATTGTTGCTTTTCTCTGCACTCTTTCTAGAGTCTCAACATGCTGATTCAGTTCTACAGAGGAATGACTGAGTCTATCATCTGCACCTCTATAACTGTCTGGTATGGTTCTGCAACCCAACAAGACAGACACAGACTTCAGAGGATAATTAGAATTGCAGAAAAAAACAATTGCTACCAACCTGCCTTCCATAGAGGATCTGTATATTGCACCAGTCAAAAAGAGGGCTGTGTTCTGCCCCAGCTACGGACCCCAAAGAATGCAGCACACACAAAGTCCGTTCAAACCTTAGTTTACTAAATAAACCAGTTTTTTTACAACAATGGCTGTTAATTAACTGTATTAACAGTCGCCAAGAATTCAAAGTATAATACTGAAAGCTTACTGTGATTGGCAGAATACCCAGAAGCAATTTGCAGGAAGCTGATAAGATAAGATAAGCAAGACAAGACACGAAGGTATGTGAATGAAGTTGTTCCCTGCAAATTGCTTCAGTCGGCATTCTTCCTTAAATAGGCTAAGGGAGTGGCCAATTAGCCCCAAGCCTTACTCTCAAGGAGACCTCCTCCTGAGGAGCCACTCCTGCCTTTTGGCAGCTCTGCGCGCCTGTGCATCGAGAAGAGGCTCCTCCTCTTTGTCCTCTTCACTTAAGGGAGCTTCAGGAGGTTCTGAAGGCCCTGGCTGAATCCCTGCCTCTGCACCACATCTTCTCCAGCCTCCTCATTGTCTGACTCAAGTGCCAGCTGCACAGGCTGCTGGCGCAGCACCACACCAGCCTCCTCGCTGTCGGAATCAGCTACTAGCTGCACAGGCCGTTGACGGGCCACAACAGGCTGGGAAACGATCTACAGACCCCTCACATCCTGGATATAAATGGCTTCAACTTCTACCCTCAAAACAACGCTATAGAGCACTGCACACCAGAACAACTAGACACAAGAAAGAGTTTTTTCCCGAAC